AAAACCTGTCAAACTCTCAAGATTCTTTTTGAATATAAACATGAAGTGTCACCCCTATTCACTTTAGTAACTTTTTCTTCCATAATTTAAAGGCATAAATACCATTTACTTTGGTCATATCAGAGCCATGACAAATTTCTATCCAAAGATAAAGATTAAAAGGTCTGTATTTACTTTTTTTTTTTTTTTTTAGTTGTACATGGACACAATACCTTTATTTATTTTTATGTGGCGCTAAGGATTGAACCCAGTGCTTACATGTGCTAGGCAAATGCTCTATCACTGAGCTATAAGCCCCAGCTCTGTATTTACAGTTTATTCAAGAGTCATTTGGAAAAATGAGGTCAAAAACAAACTTTATTTACATAGGGATAATAAGGATATCAACAACTCAAATATTGAATAATTCATTTTGGGGTTAACTAGAAGTCCATGATTCATCAATCCTGTTTTATAGAAGCAGTACAAAATTACATTTGGTATTTTCCCTCAGTTCTCTGGTATTGAAGCTTGCAAAGATTCAGAACACTTTAAAGGTTGTTGAACAGCAATAGAAATGAGATGATGTACTTAGAAGTCAGTCTCTCACAAAAAAGACATTATATCCAAGTTCTGTTAAAGCCCCAGCCAGTAAGGCCCATAAGGGAATAAAGACATAAGACAGATTCATGGTAGTAAACTGTTCCAGTTTAGCACAGAGTGCCAGGCAGAAGGCTAATTTAAGTAACATCGCAATGAGGTACCAGGCTTTTTTTTTAATATTGTGTGATCCATGTCGTGGGTCAAAGCCAGACTTACAGCGCCCAGCCATTTTCACAATCAACATGACAAGGAGGATAGTGTCAAATATCCAGACAGGAATAAATATGAGGAACCAGTTCCAAGGTGCCTTCTCATCCAGTTTCAACACCAACATGATCAAGAAGAGTAAGGTGAAGAGCCAGGTAAGTAGTACTCTCTGAGCCAAGGACATTCTCATTTAAACAGTTTAAAGAGGCTGTTGCAGGGTTGAAAAAAGGAAAATATGCCCTGAGAGGAGAAAAAAAGAAGTCAAGGTTTTGATGCCAGGAAAAAAACCCAACTACTTCCATTCTTTTTTTTTTAATATTTATTTTTATTTTTGTAGTTGTAGATTGACAGAATGTCTTTGTTTATTTTTATGTGGTGTAGAGGATTGAACCTAGTGCCTCAGGAATGCTAAGTAAGCTTTCTGCCATTGAGATACAGCCTCAGGCTTACTTTCATTCTTAATAAACAAGGTTGACTTTTTGCTACTCAAAGACTTCCTAATTTTGAAAATGTTCTATTTTTCATTTCAAAACTTCTTGGAGTAATCATTGAAACATCCATCATTTCTAATATCTCATTACTAAAATTTGAAAACCTACAGTTTTTYATTCAATTTCAAGGGGTACTAAAATAAAACATTTAAAACCAAAGTGATGAAAAGGGAGGTAAGATTTTGTTTTGTTTTGTTTTTTTATGGGTACCGGGGACTGAATTCAGGGGACTCGACCACCGAGCCACATCCTCAGCCCTATTTTATATTTTATTTAGAGGGGGTCACGCTGAGTTGCTTAGCACCTTGCCATTGCTGAGGCTGGCTTTGAACTCATGATCCTCCTGTCTCCGCCTCCCAAGCTCTTGGGATTACAGGCGTGCACCACCAACTGGCCRGCTGAGTTTATAAAAGACAAAATGGTTAGTAAGTATTTTAAGAACATCGAGTAGAATTAAGATTGTAAAGAGGTCACTAGATTAAACAATATGAAAGGTATATCATTGGATTTTTTATGTAGTTTAATCTATGAATTTTATATTTTTAAACCCTTAGGTATTTTCTTATTAAAAGGGGCAACTTAAAAACCTTAGATGTTTTGTAATTACTTGATGGGGAATTATAGAGTTGCTGCTTGTATCTGATCCATTTTTTTTATTTTACACTAAAACTACATGACTTACTATTGCTCTGGGATATACTCTAGTACGTGGAAGACCCAGTACCTGTTTTTTTAATTTTTTTTTTTTTTTTTTAGCTGGGACTACATGTGTGTGCCACCATGCCCAGCTTCCAGAATATTTTCTATTTCCCTTTCATTTTTCAATGCTAAAATCACTAATGCTTAATAACCTGGAATTTTGATTGGGAATTCATTAACTTACACCCTACATATAAACAATATGTTTATATAAGTTTAAAGTGTGATTCTGTATTTGTTCAAGTTTTTATATATCAACCTTGCAAATATTTGGACTAGGGGTAAGTAATGAATGAGAAATCAGAAGACAGACTGTATGCAGTTGGGTGAGGAGTTAACAGAAGATAAAGAAATGGCAACAGTTGAGAAGATTTTATTCCCTTGAGCTATTTGGAAAAGAGAAAATGAAAAATGAGACTGAGAAAGGGACAGGAAAAAGTATTAGGAAAGGAGAATTCTAAGTATGACTAAACTGGGGGATATAAGCCACTGGGAAATGATAGCTTAAATATGAGAAGACCTGATGGAAACATCAGAAAGTAGTAGGGAATGGAACAAAAGCATGGGTGATGGGAGTAGGAATAAAGGTGCAGGAAGAAACAAGTAAAGAAATTGGCTAGATGGACCAAATACCCTAGATTAGTGTGCTCAATTATATTTTAGAGCAAACTTTGATGTACCATGCAACATCTCTACTTTAAACAGAACTTTAAATAGGGTGGCAATAATGGAGCAAGAGAGTATACAACATTTTTTTTTGTTTTTTGGCACCAGGAATTGAACCCAGGGGTACTTAACCACTGAGCCACATCCCAGCCTCTTTTTGTATTTTATTGGAGACAGGGTCTCCCAGAATTGCTTAGGGACTTGTGAAGTTGCTGAGGCTGGCATTTGATGTTGCTGTCCTCCTGCTTCAGCCTCCCAAACTGCTGGGATTACAAGTATGCACTGTAGCCGCCCAGCAACAACTCTTTTACTTCAATAGGTAGGAGTGTCCTAACTCACCTTTCCCCAGATATACTCATCTACTTGCACTTGTTTATTTAGTTTGCAAATGCTTCCTACTGCAGTGTGCTTGTTTCCAGGAAGGCATTTTCTATGCTGGTCTCCCTTCCCAGAAGCTGCTATATAATGGAAAGTGAGACTGAATTTGGAAGGTGGAAATCTGTAGACTGACTAATAACTATGGATAGATTTCATTGTGTAAACTGTTTGCTTAATCTTGATCTCCAATCTATCTGGCCATTTTTGTGAACCTAAGAATAGTTTTATGATAATATACTCGTTTAAATGTAACTTTCCCATTTGCCATAATGTCCCCCTCCCTCCCCATAAAGGACTGAGTAGCTATTGATCATTGGAAGAGCACTGTACTCACCCAATAAACTTAAGAACTGGAAGTGAAAGGACATCAAGGGCAAAATCTTACTGTGGCTACAAAGCTTTATAATCTGAGATACAACAAAGTTCATATGCATTTTCAGTGAAATATTCTCAATAGGGGATGCACCTATTGATAAATGATGCTCGAAATATTGTGTATGCTTGGGCTGGGGTTGTGGCTCAGGGGAGGAGTGCTTGCTAGCATGTATGAGGCACTGGGTTCAATCCTCAGCACCACATAAAAATAAATAAAGGTATTGTGTCCATCTGCAACTAAAAAAGAAATTTTTTAAAAAAAGATTGTGTATGCTCACCTACATCAGTGACACAGGACCCCAGCTTGACATTTACATCTTCATTAATCTAATCAGCCATATTTGCTTCCTATTTTCCTTTCTTCTCAATGGACAATTGTGCACTCCAAAATTTGTTTAACATAGTTTCCACTTAATGTGGTTATTTCTAGTATCTGTAAGATAGTTAAATATTTCTCAAATGAYTCCTTATCCACTGTTGAAACCTTCAGACTAGACCACATATGGTTAATCTAAAGGGCCACGACTACATTACTTGCGTCTCTACCAGCTGTGCGCGGAATCTTCTATRGTATTTTCCACAACACGCTCATTTTCCTTCTCTTGCTACTCCTAATACTTTTTCAAATGAACCTGCCTCATCTCAAAGACAGTTTGGCTTAATGAACCCACAAATTTCTACCATATTAAGTTGCTTTCGAAAGGCTCGTGTTGTAACATTTTTGGCCAACCTGGCCATCTTTCAGAGGAACAGCATTCTGCTTACAATTTAGTTGATTTTCGAGTTCACTTCGCCCTAGAACTTCAGGAACTAAGCCCTCCTGGTCCTTCCTCTGTGGACACCGACCATAGGTTTGTGCAGCCGTATCTGAACTCCCCCATTCTAGGCTTTAGGCCCAGCACATTTTGAAATTTAACTTAGTTTTTGCATGATGCACTACAAAGCCCTGATGCCAAGCAGGTGTGTGCGCATTTGGGTCCGCCAGTGTGACGGGATGGAGGTCGGCGGCGCAGCCCAGAACATTGGGCGTCCAGAACCGCAGCACGGTGGGGGCGGGGGCCATGCTCCGACTCACCTGGCAGCGCCGCTGGCCGGAGAGCGGAGATGGCCGCGAAGATCAGTAAATTCGCCAGTTTGGATTCTTGTCTTTTTCCACACTTTCCCCCCCATTAAACTCAGAACCCGTCACATGATAATTCAGAAAGAGGTCCAGTTCCGCCTCTCTAAACCGCCGCGGTAGAGGTTTTCTCAGTTCTACCTCAGGCCGCGCCCACATCCGGAGCTGGTTCTCACCGCCCCTAGGCCTACCCTATAGGTAGAGGGGACGCCAATCTGATGCAGAGACCCGTTTCCCTGCGGTAATTGGACCATTTAGCCGTCAGTGTAAACCAACCGACCTTTCCTTACTTTCGAGTTCGACAAAGAGGCGGTAAGGAAAGAACCCACTGGRCCCGCCTCTTACTGCTACGGGTTGGGAGGAAAGTCAGTCTTAGCTCAGCCTGGAGTTTTTTTCGTGGTCTCATTGGGCGCAAACATGCCAATCAAGCCAGCAGCACTCGGCCCCGCCCCGGCTGGGGCCCCGCCTCCTAGGCCCTCCCAGTCTCGGCGCCGGGACACTGCAGGCTCCGGCGCAAAATCCTGCGGGAGAGGGGGTGGGGCGACGCTCTGGAGGCAGCGCGCCCGCCCGCAGCCTAGCTGTGGCTCCTCGGGCTCCGGCGGCGGCGGCGGCGGCAGCGCTCGCCTCGGTGTCTCCCCAGCGCACCCCAGCCGCCTCCTAGCGGCGCGACGCCCGCTCCTACGGTAAGAGCCACACCACCTCCACGCTGGGGCGGGCCGTGTGGAGGTAGTCGGCTTCTGACAGAATCCCGAGGATGGATCTGGACGAGGGAGGAGAGCGGCCCGCGGGATGGATGTGGGGGCTCCGGGGTCAACGCGTCGCCCTTCGCCGCCTGTGTCTTCCTCGTTAGTCTCCTGCACCTGCGGGCCCGGGTCAGCCGCGGCCCCCTCGCATCATTTGGCGGGTGGCAGAAGCTCAGGTTTCCTCTTCCCGAGCCCGTGCGGTTCTCAAGGCTTGAAGGTGTCGGGCCGAAGCTCAGCGCCGCCTCCCGCCCCTCGCCTCCCTCCTCAGGATCCCCTCCTTCACTTCCTTCCTTTGGCGCTGTGCAGGGGGTGGCGGGGTGTCGTCGTGTCCTAGGAGTGTGTGCAGGGGTTTCGGGCTGCCCAGACTGAGCGGGCTGGATAGGTCAGCTAGCGGCCGGGAATGGGGGGCGGGTTCGGGGGAGAGGGCGGCTCAGCGCGCTGATTGCTGGCGGAGAAGGAGGGTTGCTGCAGAGTACCAGCTGAGCAGGCGACAGTTAAGTTTTCTGATCCCAACATTGACTGCAGAGCGGGTACTGAAATCCTATGCAAAGGCCTTGAGGGATATTTCCCTTCTGGAAACAGTACCGTGGTCCATCAGCATGCTTCACCTTGTACTGTTTTTATTTGCCTAATGTTGACATCTGGAGTTCTAGTATTGTTCTTGAGTCATGGCTTTCTAACTCAGCACATCTTGTAGAACTTCAGGGATCATTCTGTTACCCATTTTATTTTTAGCCTGGCAAAACCAAGGAGCTGCTTTATATGAGCATACACTAACCCTGGAAGAAGAGTGTGGAACAGTTTAGTAATCTCAATATGTAATTAACATGCCAAGTAATCTTAAAATTCATGGTAAATGTATTAGAGATATTACATTTGCTTTCCTTGTTAATGGTATATTCTGCTTACCTTGAGATTAGGTGAGATACTTTTATTGTTTTTGATTTGCTTTTACCAAACATTTTTAAATGCCCCCCCCCGCCCCTGCTTTAGCAATATTCTTAGTACTTGATCTTAGACATTTTTGTAAAATTAGTTTTTTCCAAAACCGGACTTTTTCCACAACGTTTTTAATGTTGGAAGAGAAATTCTGAGAATTTGAAGACTATGGACTTTTAGCCTAAAGAGCCATAAAACAACAGTTTGAAATCCTTACTTGGATTTGGGGTACAGACTACTAATTTTAAGAGAAGGAAATTGGTATAACTTGTGGAGAGAGGCTCAGCCTGCCGATTCCAGAGGAAAAGAATCTAGAGGTCTGGGAGTAGAAACAAGGTGGTTCCTGGAAAATGTTTTGCTCTGGAAAAGCCTACCTCCTACGCAGGGAAGTTATTTTTATGCTTCAGATAGTATTAATTTAGATGTTAGGAGTGTTTTTGTCTTCTGATTTTTACCGCTTTCTGGCAGAGCATGAAAATGTGGTAAGCAAAGCAAATATAGTGTACAATGGGGGCACTCTTGAATACTTAGGCCTCAGGAGTCAGTCCCAAATTGGCACTGGATGGTTGGCTCTAAAAATAAAAAAGGTATCCTGACTAAGTTTTAAACCACAAACCTTTTTGGTTAGTCCATTAAATGCATAATTGCAAGGAACTTGGGCTGGGGATGTGATTTGGCATGTGGTCCTGATTTGATACCCCAGCACCCCACCCAGCCTTCCCCCAACAAAAAAGCAAGGAATTTGTAATGACAAAAGTATGGTTAGACTGAGCCAAAGAGAATTTATGGTGGCATGTTGAAAAAATGAGGATCAGAAAATAGTTGGGACTACCTAATTATTATCTCATTTAATCCCTATCCTATGAGATAGGTACCATGATTACCATGATTTCCTTTCTGTTTTTAGATTAGTTAGCCAAGATTTAGGTTAACTCATTTTTTTAAGATTTTGGTGCCAATTGGTCAGTGGATTCACATCTAACCAATCTGATTCCAAGCGGTTATGCTTTACCAGCACAGTGCAGTGGCTTCTTAGAGACCTGTTAGAAGGAGACTAATCAGTGGAAAACCATGCTGCAAAACCATGAACTGAACCCAGTATTGGACCAATTTTATAACACTTTGAAATCATTTTATAATAGGTACTGTTGAGTGTTGCTTAAGATAACAGGATCTAGTCATCTTCCCTATCTTTGAGGAGCATCATTTAGTGGGAAGATAGAAGTACACATAATAAACACTGAATAAAGAAAAAATTTAATTTTAAGAAAGATTGGATTGGGAGGTTCAGGGAGGAGCTACCATTGGAGCTTGGTTTAAAGGTTGTTTTCATAAATAGGGAAAGAAATTGTTCAATACAGATAGAACAAGAGGAGGTAGAGTCTCAGAATAGGGATATAGATTATTGAAGGAATGGTAAGTAATTGTGGCTTCATATAAAAAAGAGTTGAGAAGACCAACTTTAAATAGTAATTATATGTAAATGTGACTGGGCAAAGTTAATATTACCCAATTTTGGTAGTTGCAAATTGCATATTTAAATACTAAAACTATAGAAAGTTTTTCTACATTTTTGTTTACTATCTGTCTTTCAATGCTTATTTTCCAAAAGCCAATTAAATCTCTTATTTCCAAACATGTCCAGCAGAACAATTGTTTTATTATTCATTGAGATATTCTATTCGATCTGTAAAAGATGACTAACAAAACAAAACACTACCAGAGGCTCCCCTCTCCCCCAGGACTAAGGAATGAACCCAAGAGCCTTCTCTGAGCTACGTGCCTAGCCTTTTTTATTTTATTTTTTTTAATTTTGAAAAAGGTCTAAGTTACCCAGGCTGGCCTCAGATTTATAATCTTTCTGCCTCAGTCTTCTGAGTAGTTGGGATTACAGATGTGCACCACAATGCCTGGCTACTAGAGGCATTTGCACTTAATTTGTGGGACATATTTTGTGATGGTTGATATAAGAGGAATCTCAAAGTGACTGTTGTCATCCCTTCACCTCTTTACCTATTTTGTAGCCAAATAGAGTTGATATTGCAAACTCTGTTTTGCATATATGTTGACTTATCTTCTTAAGCCTAGTTTGAGACCTGATTGTGGGACAGAATGTTTTCAATTGGGCCTGCTCTTGAAAATTTGAGAAAAGCTGGGCACTGTGGCACATACTTCTAATCCCAGTAACTCAGGAGGTTGAGACAGGAGGATCACAAGTTTGAGGCCAGCCTCAACACTTTAGTGAGGCCCTAGGCAACTTATCAAGACCCTGTCTCTAAAAATAAAAAGGGCTGAGGGTGTAGCTGACTGTTAAAGTGCCCCTGGGTTCCATCCCTAGTATCAGAAGGAAAAAGAAGAAGAAAAAAGAAGAAGAAAGAAGAAGAAGGAGAAGGAGAAGGAAAAGAAGAAGAAGAAGAAGAAGAAGAAGAAGAAGAAGAAGAAGAAGAAGAAGAAGAAGAAAATTTGAGGGAAAAACAAACAAACTCACTCATGCCTATATTGCCCTATATTAGGTTAGCACAAAACTGTGCATACTTGCATTGAATTTGTAGATGTGAAACATGACTTGATGTCAGGAATCATATGACCAAATTCAAAACTATTAAATGACATTTAGCCTTCTGCATTTTTTGTCCAGCTTGTTAAAATCTTATATAAATAGTGAAAATGACAGAATAGAGTGAGTTTTTTCAGTTGAGAATAACTCACTATATCCTAAAACAGGTAGCTTTAAAGCAATAAGAAAAAAAATTTATTTGACTTCATTCTGAGTAATGAACAGGAACTGAGGCAGGAAATGGCTGTGGCTGAAGAACTACCTGATAATAATCGTAATGTAATTAAATTTGACATTTAATGAGAGGAAGTAAAGAAAAAAATGCATACTATGCAGCTTTCCAGTTGTAGAAATAGTAGAGGAAGTGACTGTTAAAAGTTTATCTATCCGGGTGTGATGGCACAAGCCTATAATCCTAGGGCTCTGAAGACTGAGGCAGGAGAATTGATTGAAAGTTCAAAAAGTTCAAAGCCAGCTTCAGCAATTTAGTGAGGCCCTAAGACACTTAGTGAGACCCTGTCTCAAAATAAAAAATACGAAGGGCTGGGAATGTGGCTCAGTGTTTAAGTGCCCCTGGGTTCAATCCCTGATACCAAAAAAATAAATAAAGAAAGAAAGAAAATGAACACAAACAAATAAGCCCTCAAACAAACAGCTATCAGCTATGTCAAAGACATGTAGTAAGCACTCAGGTTTGTTGTGTGAATGATACTACTTTAATAATATATTCAGTATTAGAAGTTACAGGTAGCAAAAAATATATGAAAAGTATATGGCACAAGTTTTAGTTCTTTATAGTTCTGGGTTCTAGTCTCAATTTTAACATCCACCAGTTCTGTGACTTTGGACTCATTATGTAATCTTTTTGAGGTTCAGTTTTTTTTTTTTTAATGATGCAAACAGTTTATGTCCTCCCATACTGACAGATAAAAACACATACATTCTCTAAGCACAATGCTTATAGTCACAAATAACTTTCTGCTTAAAGACAATTTCAATTAATAACCACAATAGGAATTTAGTTATTTAATGCAACCACTAATCTAACATGTCACCAATAAAATATAAGCAGATTTATCTCAAAACCAGGGTAATATTCATTGGACATGCATTAATAATCTATACAACTTAACATTACACTAGAAAAGGAATTTATAATTTTTGGTGGTTTTCAAATTTCATGGCACAATTTACCAAAATAAACTGTAAAAACAGATTTCAGATATATTCACTAAAATGGTAAAAAATTGAATAAGCCTTTAAATTTTTATGCTCAAGATTTAAAACATCAAGCTGGYCCCAATCTGTCAAAATTGACAGATGAATATTTACAACAACTAGACAGACTTTAGTTACAGCAGTATTGGAGGTCTACTCCCTCCTTTCAAAACCCTTTGAGGTTAGTTTCTCAATGCAAACATGTCTTTGTAAATACTGTGGATAG